ACAATTAAATTGGTGGCGAAGGCGCATCAGGCTTAGGTTCTGCTTTAGCAAATTGCAATAATCTCTCAAATTTGACACTTAACCTTCAGTAAAAATATTTTATGTTTTGGGTTGTGATATTTTTAATTATAAAAATTAATTTAAAACAATAAATCTCTTATAATAAATATGATAGTTTTTTATTTAATTTATTTTTCTTATTTCTTTGTTAATTTAATCCATTTTTTTAATTTTCACCTTTTTACCATCATTTTTTCTTCAAATTAATTAACTAATTAATTATATATTTTTTCTTCAATATTTAAAAAGTGGTAATTAAATTGGCGATGAAGGGGCATCAGGTTTAGGTTCTGGTTTAGCAAATTGCACTAATCTCTTAAATTTGAAACTGTAACTTAGGTAAAAACAGTTTATTTATTTTTGATTGATTGTGATATTTTTAATTATTATAAAAATTCATTTAAAACAATAAAGCTCATTTAATTTATTTTATAGCTTTATATTTGATTTATTTATTTTTTTCTTCTTCTTTGTTTGCTAATTTAATTCATCTTTTTATTTTATTATTATTTAATTAATTTCTTACCTTTTCATATTTTTTCTTCATTTTTTCCTTTTAATCAATTATTTTTCTTTTCTTTTATATTTAAAAGTGAAAATAAAATTGGTGCAATAGGTGTATTAGGCATAAGTTCTGCTTTATAAAATTACACTAATTTATCAAATTTGACATTTGACGTAAAGTAAAAACATTTTATTGGAATTGGATTGTGACATTCTTAATTACAAAAATTAGTTTAAAAAATCAAGCTCTTTTAATTTATTTGATTTATTTATTTATTTTTTATCTTTTGTTTATTAATTTAACTCATTTTTTTATTTTCATCATTTGCTTATATTATTAATTATATTTTTTCTTCTAACTAACTAACTAACTAATTAAATAATTAATTAATTATATATTTTTAATTCTATGTTTAAAAAGTTACAATAAAATTGGTGATGAAGGTGCATCAAGCATAGGTATTGCTTTAGCAAATTGCACTAATCTCTCATATTTGACACTTAATTTTCTGTAAAAACAGTTTATTTGTTTTGGTTTGTGATTTTTTAATTAATAAAATTCATTTAAAACAATAAAGCTCTTTTAAAATATTTGATAGTTTGTTTTGTATTTGATTTATTTTCCTTTTTCTTTTTTTTCTTCTTCTTTGTTTTTTAATTTAACTCATTTTTTTTAGTTTCAACTTTTGCTTAATTAAATTATTTCTTATTATTTCATATTTTTTCTTCATTTTTTCGATTAAATTAACTAATTAATTGTATATTTTTTCTTCAATATTTAAAAAGTAGTTGTAAAATTGGTGCAATAGGTGCATTAGGGTTAGGTTCTGGTTTAGCAAATTGCACTAATCTCTTAAATTTGACACTTTACCTTCGGTAAAAACAGTTTATTTGTTTAGGATTGTGATATATAAAAATTAATTTAAAACAATAAAGTTCTTTTAATTTATTTTATAGCTTTTTATTTGATTTTTATTTTTCTTATTTCTTTTTTAATTTAAATAATATTTTTATTTTCACTTTTGCTTTTATAATTAATTAATTAATTTGTTTCTTATTATTTAATATTTTTTCTACATTATTTTCCTCAAATTAACAAATTAATGATATATTTTTTCTTCAATATTTAAAAAGTTCCAATTAAATTGGTGATGAAGGTGCATCAGGCTTAGGTCTTGCTTTAGGAAATTGCACTAATCTCTAAAATTTGGCACTTAACCTTATGTAAAAACAGTTTATTTGTTTTGGATTGATTGTGATATTTTTAATTATAAAAATTCATTTAAAGTAATTAAGCTCTTTTAATTTATTTTAAAGCTTTTTATTTGATTTTTTTTTCTTTCTTTGTTTGTTAATTTAACTCATTTATTTTTTATTTTCGCTTTTTACTTTATTATTAATTAATTTCTTATTATTTTATACTTTTTATTTTCTTTAAATTAACTAATTAATCTTTTATTTTTCTTCAAAATTAAAAGTGGCAATAAAGTTGGTGATCAAGGTGCATCAAGCTTAGGCTCTGCTTTAGCAAATTGTATTAATCTCTCAAATTAGATGCTTGACCTTCGGTAAAAATAGTTTATTTGTTTAGATTGTGATATTTTTAATTATAAAAATTCTTTTAAATCAAAAAAGCTCTTTCAATTTATTTGATTTATTTTTCTTTATCTTTATTTTTGTTTGTTTTTGTTTGTTAATTTAACTCATTTTTTATTTTCACCTTTTGTTTTATTATTAAATAATTTATTTCTTATTATACTTTTTCTTTTCTTTTCTTAAAATTAACTAATTACTTTTTTATTTTTTTCTTAAAATAAAAAAGTGATAATAAAATTGGTGATGTAGGTGCATAAGGCTTAGGTCTTGCTTTATCAAATTGCACTAATCTCAATAATTTGACACTTCACCTTTCGTAAAAACAGTTTATTTGCTTTGGATTGTGATATTTTAATGATAAAAACTAATTAAAAACAATAAAACTCTTTTTATAATAAAAGCTATTTATTTTATTGATTTATTATTTTTATTTTTTCTTTTTTCTTTCATAATTTAAATCATTTTTTTATTTTCACTTTTTCTTTTATTATAAAAAAATTAATTTCTTTCTTATTATTTCATATTTTTTCTTCACTTTTTCCTTCAAATTAACCAATTAATAATATATTTTTTCTTCAATATTTAAAAAGTAACAGTAAAATTGGTGTAATGGGAACATCAGCCTTAGCTTCTTGTTTAGCAAATTGCACTAATCTATTAAATTTGGAGCTTTTCATTGGGTAAAACAATTTATTTTTTTTGAATTGTGATATTTTTGATTATAAAAATTAATTTAAAACTAATAAATAAAGCTCTTTTAATTTATTGGTATGTTTTTATTTGACATTTTTTTTATTAATTAATTTAATTTAAAATAAAATTTTAAAAATTAATTTATGCTAATTTATAATAAAAGTTATATCCAAATAAATGAATCATAAGAATTGGAAATAAAAAACAAGTTTCTTAAATTAAAACGATTAGTTTTCATACAAATAAGTTTCTATTGATGATAAACAAGCAATCAAGTGGTGAAAAAGGATGAATAAATAATAAATATTTGAATAATAGAATATAATATGTTTATATAATTATATATTATTTTTTGAAATAATTTAACCTAAAATATAAATTTGATTAAATTAAATTTCCATATCTTTTTGCTTCAAATTCTATGAAGACTGAATGAACACCCTTAGAAATTTCTATCAAACAATCAATCTTCTTTGATCTTAAAAATTATTGATTCAAAAATCAAAAAGTTAAAAAAAAAAAATCAGATTTCTTTTTTTTTTCTTTAGTATCAAAAATTAATTAGGTTAATATTTGCAAATATTCCTCAAATTTACTTTTCAGCCTGTAATGCCTTAGCTACATCTTTATATACACATGCAGATATTATGGTAATTATAGATGAAATGAAACAAAAATGGATAGGGTAGGGTGTATTTATTTATATTTATATGAATATATTTAAATTAAAATTTGAAATGAAGTAAAATGATTAAATGTTATAATCATTAGAGATTTGGTTACTTATTAAAAAAATTCAAATAAAATTTAAAATAATTTTTGTTAAAAAAATAATAAAATTTTTTACAATTTGAGCGAAAATAAAAGCAAAACAGGCAAGAAATTATATATAATTTAAATAATATACTTGTTATTTTTGCAATTTATTTCAATATATTTCATATTCAATTTTTTATTCTTTTATAATGTTTTATTTTTTATTGATTAGTTTTTGTTTATTCATTTTTGAATGAATTCACTCAACGATATCAGTTTTACCCATTATAAACAAAAATCACTTTTCTAAGAAGGAAGGGATTTTAGCTTGTTGTAAACTGCAGATAGGCTTGGGTGGGGGAGCAATTTGTTGTAAGTAAGAAATGTAGCTTTCTTATTCAGAAGCAGCTTGTTGTCTGATAGCTAAAATAGCAGCACTCAAAGCATCCTTTTAAGGACCGTTAGGGACGAAATTGGTAAGGGGAACTAATTTTCTGTTCAAAGCCTTAGGATTGTATTTAACGGAAGGAACCCACTTATCCCAATCGCTAAGAGGAATACTGTCAGTACCACCTAATAATAAAGCGTGGAATTCAGAGTTTTGCTTGAATTCAACAGAGATTTATTTAACGTCAGTTTATTTAGTAGAGTCTTTTCTGAAACAACCGAAAGGATCGTATCTCTTAGAAATTTCTTCTCTAATCCAAATTTCGTCATGCATGTTAAGTAAACAAGATTCAAACCAGTCTTCAGCATAGACTAATCCACCAAAATCTCCTTCGATAACAACGTGAGTACCGAAAGCTTCAATGAATTGATTGAAGAATTGAGAGTTTTACTCATTGAATTCAGTAGGGAGCATCTTAATAGATTATTCGAAAATTTTATTAAGAGGAGGCTTGGGGAAGGTAGGTACCTTCAAAGTATACCAGGTAATTTATCTAAGATTTAATGCTAACTTTTGGTAATTTTAGTAAATTTTTTCATAGTATTCATGATATTGAGTTCTCTTGTGCTTGCCACCAAAACCTAAGAAGCCATGGCTGTCTTCTCTGGTCTCCCAGAAAGTTTCTTTAACGAAGTCATTGAAAGTTGAGAAAATGGTGGTACCATTCAAAGTAATGGATTCAGGTTTATTCATGACGAATAACATTTCAGGTACATTAAATTCGATAGTAGGATCGTTAGGGTTGCTCCATTAGTAATTTTCACCTTCTAAGTCGAAAATGCATCTCTTGTCAGATAAACTTGTGGCATCATAACCGCAACCGACAATATCAGCACCAGGGATGAATTAAGTGGGTTCTTGAAGGGCGACTTAGAAACTTTAAATTTCAGCAATAGAAGGGAGTCTTCCGTTTCTCAAGTAGAATTCAATAGTCTTTCTTAAGTGAGCTTAGACTTCAGGGAATTCGTAAGCGAGATCTGAAATGTAAGAAACAGTAGTGTTAACTGGTTAGGGTTTTTCAGGAACTGTAGATTCCCAGGTAGACCAAGCCTTGGGGTCTGATATGTGATCAACTTCAGGGGAGAAAATGATAATATCATTAGAGTTTTTCTTGAAGTTTTCATCTAACTTTTAAGCAAGATCGGTAGAATTAAAACCGAATTTGAATTGGAATACATTGTAGCTGAAATTAATACCAATTTGAGTTTTGGTTTATTCAATGTCAACAGTCTTCAAGTAATTTTAATCTAAGGTAGTGTAGATTTTAGCAGCACCACCCATAATAGCGCTAGTAACGTAGTGAGTACCGAAAGAGTTAATAACTTAGTTGTAAATAGTTTATTAAGTATCAGTAGTAGGTTCTTTGGCCATTCTATTAAGAGCATCTAATGATTGCTTAAACATGGGATTTAAAGGCATCAAGAAAGCAGGAGCAGTAGTCAAACTGTATTAAGCCCAGTAAGATTAAGAAACAGAAACGGCTTTATTGTTTTGAGTGATTTCTTAGTGGAACTAGTCTAATTCGTGGTTAATTCCAAGAGAGATGGAGAAATTTTCAATACCCAAACCAGCAGAGAAAGAAATGGATTCAGAATATTTCTTCTAGAAGTCAGAGAATGAGTAAAAAATACCTTCGCATTGAGATTCCTTTCTCAAAGAGACTTGAGTGGCTTAGACCATGATAGGAACTTTGTAGGTCTTTCCATTAACAGTGAAATCACTTTCTCCATTTTGAGGACCAAGATCAAAAATAGGATACTTACTTTAACCAAGTTAGTCATTGAGGAGCTTAGTACCATCGTAACCACTCTTAATGTAGTCAAGACCAGGCAATGTTTCAGCGCTAGCCAATAAAAGTAAGATTGAAAGGCAAATAAATGTCTTTTTGAAAAGCATTTTTAAGCGACTTTTTCTTATTAATAATAATTGATTTTGACTTATTTTGTCTATTAATTATTTGTAATTAGGTAAGGCTAGTTCTTTCGTATTTTAATTAATTGGGCTGAAGACGAAAAGACAGAAGAGTAGTAAATATTGATAATGATTGATTTATAATCAACTATTTTCTGATGCACCAAAAGTTATCAAAATTAGATAGTCATCCACCAAAAATAAGATAATTAAAATTATACAATAAAGTGAATGTAATCTTAAGTAAAAGATTATACTGATGGATCGTATAAAAAAGAGGATATTTATTCAAAATAAATAATCTTCACTATGAAACAAAATTCACATAAGGTAAGTAATATTATTGGTTTACTTACTTCCTTTTATTATTAAAATAAAAGAAAAAGGTTAAAAAAATAAATTAAATAAATCAGGATTATTTGGTACTTCAAACAAAACTATTGATCAAAATAAATAAACAAAGGACACCGCTCATTCAATGTAACCTAAATGAATTTAATCAATCTTAAAGATAATAAAAATCAGAAGATAAAAATAAAAGATTAGGTGAATAAAAAATTAATATTCAATTCAATTCATTTTTTTTAATTACTCAAGTATTAATAAAATACGATGAATATAAATGAATCCAGAAAATATTTCCGAAACAATTCAATCAAATTATATTGAATATGCGGCTCCCACTCAATAAATTTAGAATCTCTATTTTTTAAACCTAATTTATTTGAAAAGGATTTTTAAAGAAAAAAGAAAGATAGATAGTCTTAAAGGCAATTAAACAAACAAATAAATAAATAAATTAAGGTGGCAATTTAATCGATTAATTTATTTTGAGAAGAAATATAAAATTTATTACAAAATACATACCATAATTTTCTATATATTTTAGCATATTAAAAAATTCAAATACAAAATCATGAAAAAGTAATTTATTATGTTGGAATCTGCTATATTTGTTTACATTTGAAAAGTAAATTAAGAGAAAATGAAAAAGAAAGTTGAAAGATTAAATTTATACTTTTTGCCAAAAGCAATTTTACAAATTAATTATCAATCTATTTATCGCTTAGGAGGATTCAAAAAATACAAAGTTAAAGTAAGAGGGTAAAATAGATAAATGAAATTTAAATTTGTCAATAAATAATATGAGACTTGCTTGAAAGATTGATTAAGTGTATAAAAGCTTTATAAAAAATTGCATAGACAATTGAGCTTATTAGACGAAATAATATTTGTTTGGAATAAATAAAAAAGAAGAGAAAACCTAATTTGGGAGGAAAAAAAGAAAAGTAAGATAAAAAGAAAAACAAGGAATTATTTAATATAGATTTGATCATATTTTTCGAGAAGAAAAATTTACAAAAATCAAAAGTATTAATTAATTACATGAGAAAAATAGTAAGCAGCAAAATCATCAAAAAAGTATGAAAAATGAATATATCCAAAGCAAACAAACACAACGCAAAATTGAGTAATAATCAGAAAAAAATCATAAATATTGATTCCGCTTCTAAAATCATTATGTGTTATTCTAAAAAAAGCTTTGAAAAATAAATTAAAGTTAAATAAATAAATTTTATTAACATAAAATGGAGGTATAATCTATTTTTTCACTCATACTTTAAAAGTTTAACCATTCCAAATTTGTTAAAGCTCTTCTTTTGTTTGATTAAAAAATTACATCTTTATTATTAAAAGATAATATATTATTTTTATCTATTTTCATACTAATAAAGTAAAAAGCCTTTAAAAAATTCTATTTTTAAAAATGTCAAACAAAATCATTTCAACTCTATTAAATAAAAATGAATAAAAAATTAATATTTTAAAAGTTAATTTATATTAGAGTTGAATGTAAAAATATAAAAATTTTCAATGGGCATAAAGTAATAAATCACTAACTCTAAATAAGATAAAATTTAACCCTCAATTCTTCACCAATATCTATGTTAAAAATATAATAAATTCAATCAATCAAAAGTAATATATACTATACATGCTTTCAATCTATTTATTATTTTTATCTAAATTTTATTGTTTGTGTTCTATTTTAAGATTTTTATAAAAAGAAAAGTTTTTTAATTTATTTATTTAAATTATAATAAATTAAATACATTATATAAAAATATTTCAATTACTATCATATAATTTTATTTAATATTATATTAATTTCTATTACTATTTATCTCTCTATATCAAAAAAAATCTAATATAATTAATATTTTTTTTGACGTAGTTAAAGATATAT